CGTGCTTCATGTTTGCTTCTAATTAAGTATTGCAACCAAAGTTGTTTAGTTAAATTAGTGCACATATTTCATACGGCAATATAGAAGAAGAAGAAGAAAATTTGTTGAGTTAATTATTACCCATTTGCCACATCGTTCAAATCCCACCCGCTTAAATTTGCTGCCTCTACCAAAGCTGCCCTCCACTTTTGCACCTTTTCCTTGTCCTTTTCTCCAAAATTTTCCTCATGTTTGGCAAATGCTTCTGCAAAACTTCCCTTTTGTTTCCGTACTTGTGAGGGATCAACGTTGTAGAAAATTGGCAAAATTGTTTGCCCCACTTTATTCCTGCATTCAATGATCTGTACAAGTTCCTCCAAACACCAAGTAGACGATGCGTAGTTTTTCGAAAAAATGATAATTGCGAATTTCGATTCTTTAATTGCCTTGAGATGTTCAGAAGAAATCGATTTTCCTCCCTTAAGTTCCTCATCATATTTGAAGGTGTGAATTCCTTTGTGTTGCAGAGCCATATAGAGATGGTCCACAAAGTTCTTGCGGGTATCTTCACCTCTAAAACTCAAGTAGACATCATAATTCCATCGAGGAGGAGGAGGAGAAGAAGAAGAAGGAAATGCATCCATTGAGGCTTGAATGAAAATTTATCGGTGTGATTGTGATACTTAAAAATATCTCTCCCCCTCTATTCTATAATTGTTGGCTAAGAATCATATCCAAGCAATTTCGTTCCAAATTTTCTTGGTATGAAGTTGCTGGGAACTTTCTATGAAACTTCAATCTTTTGCTGGGTTATAGAAATGTGTGGAAGTTGATGGTAAATTTTCTTGGACTTTTTTGATCAAAGCATATACCTTTTTAGCTGAAGAAAGAACAACAAACACTATGTGAAAAAGGTGTAGGTGGTCATATTTGGCTGAAGAAAGATTTCCAAAGATTTAATTTCACATGGGAGTCATCTTTTGTGGGGTCATTCACAAAAGTTGTCCGGTTGAATGCAAAGAAAATGTGTCAAGTCGGTGAATAAATTCTATTATACTTGTCCGGTTAAATGTGTCAAGTCGGTGAATAAATTCTATTAGAATTGTCCGGTTGAATGCAAAGAAAATGTGTCAAGTGGGTGAATAAATTCTATTTTATTTTTTCATTTACTGGCTAAAACCCTAACATAAATGTTGACGAATAAATTCTATTATAATAGCAAACCATATAAGTCAAAAAATGAATTTAACAAGAAATAGCGAGAATAAAATTTATTCATCAACAATTAATTAGGACAATTATTCAATAATTAAATAATATTACGGTTGGTTAAGAATCATTTCCTTCCTATACACTGTGCTTTACTTTAGAGAGCGAAAGTGGGAACTTTAATATCCATGAAACTTCAAGCTTTTCCTCAACTTTATTGATAAAAGCAAATACCTTTTTAGCTGGCAAAAAGAAAAGAAAAGAAAAGAAAAATAATAAGACTGAAAAAAAGGTGTAGGTGGGTCAAATTAGACTGCTGAAGAAATATTTCCTAACGCCCCTATTGAGTAGTAAAATTTACATCTTCCAAAAGCGTTGTCCAATGTTACATGGGAATCATTGTGATGTTGTGAGTAAAATAATGTTTTTATATGTTACTATTCAAGAGTTATACCAATATGACAAATTAAAATAATAAAATTAAAAAATTGGATAAAAAAAATGTGTAGATTGAGATTAGAATTGAATTCTATAACTGACAAGCTTTATACTCAGGTGACCATGATTTTAATAAAATTAAAGCTTGAATATATCGGAGAAATTGTGTACTTCAAAGTCTCTCTGCCCCTTTATTATATATATGTAACAATTGCTAAGCATCATCCAAGCAATTTCCTTCCTTGTTCTATGCTCTACTAGGGAACATAGAAAGAAGTTGCTGGGAACTTTCAGTTTAAGATAAAGACAATCCTTGTGAGTCAACTGAATATTAATTATAATTTATAATTTGTATAAATTATATGCAAATAAAGATCAATTAAAATATAAACAGATTCAACCGAATATAAGATGGGAGACATTGTGTGGAAAGCGTAGTTGGGTCAAAATTAGGCGGCTAAAGAAAGAATTCCTAATAGTCATTCAATAATATTTATAGGGAGTGTAATTTATTCAAAAAGACTTCCTTATATTATTAAATTAAAATTAAAATTATATTAACGGATACCATATTCGTGTTTTCCCTTTTTTTTAAATATAAAAAAATAAAAAAAAACGTTTGTACTAGTGAATGATAGTTTAGCAAAAATTTGTTTTTTAGTAGAAAAAATATAATAAAATATAATAAAAGCTATTGTATCACTTTTCGGGATAAGCCTATCAAAAGTTAGAAAGTTTGGTTTTATTGTAACGACCCAAATCCGAGAACACCAAGAGCAAAATGGTCATTTTACTCCTTCAAATGATGTAGGTTGGATCCCACTCCTAGATGTGAACAGAGAAAGTGATATGTATATAGCATATATTTCTAAATGGTTCGAAGTATTTTGGCGATAAAATTCAAGAATAAAACTGTGCTTTCAAAAAATAATAATTTGAACTTAATTTGGATTATTTGCACAATTTGATTCAGATTGAATTTTGAGTTCATGAAAAATATTATTTCTGAAATTTTTATTATATATCTTTGATGAATTTGATGTACATTCATTGAATGTGATGTGTAATAGACTAATTAAAAGAAAAACATAATTAGACTAATTCTTATATTAGTAGCTGAATATAGATGAACCAACAGCCCGTCTAGGCATGATCTACAAGACCCGTGACCATTTTCATCAACTAACGCCTACTAAAGTTTCAACACAGAAAAAGATAATATGAAAGGTAAACAACTCATGCTGCAATTCACCAACATATGTATTGTCTAAAAATATTAGAGCTATTGAAATTTACATGTATGTTTTTCCCTACCCTTAATGAAATAAATTAAAGCAACAAAAAGAGAAGCTAGTGTACGTATATTGGTTCAGTGATCATAATCTGAAAAAATAAAAAAATAAAAACAATTGAGAAGAGAGTGAGAAGAAAAAATATGAGTCAGTACTTTATTGATATTTTAGTAGAATTGTAATTTACTCCACCACATGTAGTGCTCTTTTATTATACTATTAACTTTCATGTTTATTCTACACCTTCAATTATCCTTGGCTAAGTTGGTATTAGAAGGGTTATCAAATCTCAAGTAACCTCAAGTTTTGAGGTGAGGAGTTCAAAGCTGAGAAGAGCTGGATTTAGCATGTCCAAAATTCATTCACCTTTTGAATTTCTTGTAAATTAAAAAGTTAAAAAAATATATAGAGGGAAGGACAGCTGTTTGAAAATTTTCCATTTTTTTTTAGTATTCAAAAGTAAATCTAATTTTCTTTATAGTGAAAAGTTGTGATTAGTAGGGATTACTCCTTGAGTGTAAAGTTGAGTATTGATCATCTTCAATGAACTCCATGAGCAAAACTTGTATGTATTTATTGATGTTAATAGTGTATTACGTAGATTCAAATGTGTTCTAATGAGTATTTCTACCCGAGAAGGTATTGAGTGTGTCAGAGAGATGCAACCAAAGAGAACGTCCTATATCAACTTGTTAAACTTTTATTAGGTGAACTTACCAATGACGTGGTCTGTTCGGGGCATTTGATATTAATTTACTATTGAACTGCATATTACGGTCTTTATTATATAGTTTCGAGGACGTTGAACATGCCTTTTTCCACTCTAGCATTTTAGTTTGAATTGACGAAAAAGAAAGGAAAAGAAGAGGGTGGCTTAGAAAGGAAATCCTAGTGCTATACTATAAGAAGTGAGCACATCTTATGTCTTTTTAACTAATGTATATTGTGTTGGATTATTGGGGGAAGACTGTTTCGTCCTCACCACTATAATCATCATTGAACTATTGTTGCTGCCATTACCACCGAATATTCATCACCCTTCGTCAAGATCACCGACAAGACCACCATGAAAAGTGACCCATCAGTATTGCTAGGAAGTCCTTTGTATTTGAACAATACTTTAGGTCCTCATTGGTGAGGATTTACAACATACTCACTGATGTGGACCAATAATAAATAGACACGTCCTATTTTAATTATCAAATCATAGATGGTGTCACCATCTCTGATTTAGTAATTGAATATCTATCATATCATTTTTGATTTGATAATTAAATATTACATATCCATTTATTATTGGTTCACATTAGCAGTGAGAATGTTGTAGACATAAATCTCTGATTTGGTAAGTGAATATTTACCATATCATTTTTGATTTGATAATTAAAGATTATATGTCTATTTATTATTAGTCCATATTAGCAGTGAGTATGTTGTAGACACAAGTATTGTCCTATTTTGTGGTGTTTCAATTTGGACTCATTGCAGGTCCACGCATTTTCTTTCCTTTCAACTTGACACCATTATGTCAAAGCACCGACTTGACACATTTTCTTTGCATTGAACCAGACAACTTTTGTGAAAGACCCCACAAAGGAAGACTCCCATGTGAAATCTTTGGAAATCTTTCTTCAGCTAGAAAAAGATATATAATATGAATTTTAGTAAGGTATATAAGTAATACAAAAAATAATTTAGTAAGGTATATAAGTAATAAAAAAAAGATACTAATATGAATTTTACAACCCAGAAAAAGATACTAATATGAATTTTATAACCCTTGATTTAAATTTGTGTATATTTAGAATAAAATTTTCGAACCAGTTGCACATTTTGGCACTGCATCCATGCTCTCCCCATTCACACTTTCCAAGTACACCTTTTGAATGTAACGACCCTAGCTGATGCCAAAATTTTAAAAAAATTCGGCATAACCTCCCCTAAAAATGGGCCTTCAACAACCTCTCCCAATACACAAAACACATAAAATCATCTAGCATCCCATTCATCCGTTCATTATACCTTAACATAGTTCCTTTCATGGTGGAACATCCACACACCAATTAATCTAAATTATCATAATTACAGTCCCAAAATACAAGATTAATATTTAAAGTCCCTGTCTTACAACGTTACATGATACAATTGCATGGAAACATATACCATAATTCCACTAGTTTCATTTACATCAAACAAAAGATAAGTTCGTTCTTAAGTTACAAGGCCATGAATACTAACTTAATTACATTTCCACAACTACGAATATACATAGAACGGTCAAAATACAAAATAGTAAACAACCTTCTAACAACTTTCAAGCTTGAGGTGGATTGTCGTCCACTAGTTCATTTCCAAGACCTGAAAAAAATAATATAAATAGTAGGGTGAGCATAAAGCTCAGCAGGTGACACTTAAGACACACATCTTGTGTCCTTGTGAATCCAAACAAAGCATAGGCCAATAGAAAATGGGGATCATACAATGTCGGGGAATAATACAGCATAACGATTCAATGTCAAGTATATCCAATGCAATGGTATGAGATGCGATGCATGCTAGTGTCGCTCCCCATTTTCATAATCTAAAACATCATTTCCAAACTGTTAATACTGCCCGCCCTTTGGTAGCCCCGCCACAACACGAGAGGAGGATTGGCTAGTGTCCCTGACCCTTGGTAACCCCGCGGCGTCAATATGGGGCCCAGCTAGCTCAACTACGCTAGGACGACTCCCTAATCCCCTCTAGGCTATATTAACCTCCGACCCGTTGGTAACCTCGCAGCGACCGGGTTTCACATAAAACCATTTCATCAAAAACACTTCCCTAAAATTCCCCATATTTATTTCAAGAACAATTTCTCCCATTTCATGTAAACCTAATGGTATGTGCATGTATCTATGTTCCATACATTCAATGTCATGGCATTTAAAATTCTACACCATAAAATTAAACATTCAACATGTTCAACATCTCCCAAGTAATTATTAACACGTTAAGATACATCAAAATACATTTAAGCATGCTTTACACATAAAACAACTCACATTCAAATACATGAATTTCTCTAGACAACATTTAAAATAATCATTGATACAATTAACTTCTAATTAAGCATGCTTGGCATAACAAATGATTATAACTCACAATGGAACAAGAAGGTAGTGGATTAAGGTGTCCCTACCTCAAATTTGCACAAAACCCTTAAAATGGGTCTTGAATTTCGAACTCCAAGGAGAGGCTAAAAGCTGGAATTTCTGGTATGGATGCGTAGAGCTTGACGTGAGCTTCGTTTTGCCTCAAACGGCACCTTAATCCGATAAGAGATGAGAGAGAAATTAAGCCTTGAAGCTTGAAACCATAAAAAGAAAAAAAAAACCCAGAGAGCTTTTGGAATGAGAGAGAGGCTGATACGTAGAGAAGAAGAAATATGACATTATATTGGCTTATAAATCATGTGGGCCCCACAAGTGAATAACATTTTATTTAACTTTAACATATATATATATATAAAGTTAAAAACATTACATTCTCCCTAACTTTAAAAGATTTCGTCCCCGAAATCAAGACATACCTGGAGAAGAAAACAACTCTGGATACTTGGAGTGAACCTCCTATTCGAGCTCCCAAGTAGCCTCCTCGACTCCGTGGTGTCTCTAAAGGACTTTCACCATTGGTATCGTCTTGTTCCTCAACACCTTTTGTTGTGTGTCAAGAATCTGAGCTGGTCCTTCCTCGTAGGAAACATCCTCATCAATGTCTACATCAACCCAACTCAAAATGTGAGATGGATCTGGCTCATACTTCCATAACATCGATACATGGAAAACATTGTGGACCCTATCCAACTGTGGTAGCAAAGCAAGTCTGTAGGCAACCTCTCCTACACGGTCCAAAATCTCAAATGGTCCAATGAATCGTGGAGACAACTTGCCACTTTTCCCGAATCTCATCAATCCCTTCCGTGGAGAAACCCGAAGAAAAACGTAGTCTCCCACCTCAAAGGATAACGGCCGTCTCCGCTTATCCGCATAACTCTTCTGTGGGCTCTGAGCTGTAAGTAACCTCTGTCTTATCAACTTAATCTTCTCAGTAGTCTCGAGTACAATGTCAGGTCCTAAGGCGGCTGTCTCGCCTACCTCAGTCCAACAAACAGGAGACCTACAAGGTCTACCATACAACGCCTCAAATGGAGCCATCTGAATGCTCGCCTAATAACTGTTGTTGTAGGCAAATTCAATAAGTGGAAGGTAATCATCCCAACTACCACCCAAGTCAAGCACACATGCCCGAAGCATATCCTCCAAAATCTGAATAGTACACTCCGACTGACCGTCAGTCTATGGATGGAATGCTGTACTTAGGTGCAACGCTGAGCCAAATGCTGCTTGAAGTCCTTCCCAGAACTTCGAAGTGAACTTAGCATCCCTATCTGAAACAATGGTTACTGGAACTCCATGCAACCTTACAATCTCCTTCACATAAAGAATACCAAGCTTCTCTGCATCATCTGTTGCCTTAATAGGCAAAAAGTGAGCCGTCTTGGTCAATCTGTCAATGATGACCCATACGGACTCATTGCCCCTTCGTGACCTTGGAAGACCTGTCACAAAATCCATAGCAATATGCTCCCATTTCCATTGCGCTACAGGTAATGGTTGCAACAAACCGGCTGGTCTCTTATGCTCGGCCTTCACCAGCTGACAGGTAAGGCATCTAGCCATAAACTGTGCAACATCTTTTTTCATCCCGTTCCACCAATACTGACGTCTCAAATTGTGATACATCTTGGTACCACCTGGATGAACTGCAAAACGGGAAGTGTGAAACTCCCGTAAGACGTCCTCACGACAAATAGTAGGAACCACCAACAAACCCCTGAACCGTAGACCCCCATCTATATACAAAGCCCAATCTTTCACTGTCTCACCACTGGAGATCAAAGCATGAATGGCATCTAAATTCGGGTCCTGTCTCTGTGACTCAATCACTTGTACAACAAGAGTAGGCTGAGCCATAAGACTAAACAAGAATGCCGACTCGCTGTCAACATCATCATCAAAACAATACAATCCCATCTCTGCCAAATCCTTAAGCATCTTCCACTTCCGAATAACCAGACAGGCCAAAGTTCCACGAGATTTTCAGCTTAAGGCATCTACTACCACATTTGCCTTGCCCGGATGATACTGCAAGTCAAAATTATAATCTTCCAAGAATTCAACCCATCTTCTCTGTCTATTGTTCAAGTCCTTTTGGGAGAAAAGGTACTTGAGACTTTTATGATCCGAGTACACCTCGAATCTTTCACCATGCAAGTAGTGTCTCCAACACTTCAAAGCAAACACAACTGCCGCCAACTCCAAATCATGAGTAGGGTAGTTGTACTCGTGAGTCTTCAACTGTCGAGACTCATAAGCCACTACTCTACCATCCTGCATCAACACACACCCTAAACCATCACGTAAAGCGTCACAATAGATCATATAACCCAAGCCACGCTCAGGTATCACCAACACTGGAGCCGTAGTCAATCTTGTCTTCAATTCCTGGAAAGATGACTCACAGGCTTCATTTCATGCAAACTTAATCCCTTTCTGGGTTAAACGGGTCATAGACGCTGCTAAACGGGAGAAATTTTTCACAAATCTCCGGTAGTAACCCACTAGACCAAGAAAACTACGAATCTCAAACACATTCTTGGGTTGCTCCCAATTCAAAACAGCTTCAATCTTTGATGGATCAACTGACACTCCGCCTTCTGAAATAACATGTCCCAAAAACTTCACCTCTTATAGCCAAAACTCACATTTCTCATATTTGGCATACAACCGGTGCTCCCGCAAAATCTGTAAAACAATACTTAAATGGATCTCGTGTTTCTCCCGAGATCGTGAATACACAAGAATGTCATCCACGAAAACTACCACAAACTAGTCCAAGTAATCGTGAAAGACGCGGTTCATTAAGTCCATGAATGCCGCTGGAGCATTAGTCAAGCCAAAAGGCATAACAAGGAACTCATAGTGTCCATACCGTGTACGGAATGCTGTCTTCGGGATATCCTCATCCCTAACCCGCAACTGATAATAGCCAAACCTCAAGTCAATCTTGGAGAAACAACTGGCTCCCGTCAACTGATCAAATAAATCATCTATCCTTGGCAAAGGATACTTGTTCTTGATGGTGGCGCGATTCAACTTCGGATAATCGATGCACAATCTTAAAAAACCATCTTTCTTCTTAGCAAACAAGACCGGTGCGCCCCATGGTGACACACTCGGTCGGATGAAACCTTTCATCCTCAAATCATCAAGCTGTCTTTTTAATTCCTCCAATTCAACTGGTGCCATACGATACGGTGTCATAGAAATCGGTCCGGTACCTGGCATTAACTCAATAGAGAACTCCACTTTTCGGTGTGGAGGCAACTCTGTCAAATCCTCCGGAAACACATCCAGAAAATCACGAACAACTGCAGGATAATATTCTTCCACAACATCATCCTCTTCGGCTATAAGGGTAGCCAAAAAGTAATCACCACGACTCCGTCCACGAATTCCATAAAACGATGAAATGTGGGAATCACTCCGATCTCCCACAAAAAAGAAACAGTCTCCCTCGGGAGTACAAACTGTAACCCTTCCTCTGAAACGGTCGATCGTGGCATGAAAAGAAACTAACCAATCCATCCCGAGAATGACATCAAAGCTCGTCATTTCTAGGAGGATAAGGTCAAACACAAAAGTCCGCCCGGCTATCACAATGGAACAGTCCCTCACGACTCGGCTCAAAGACACTGAAACTCCAACTGGCGTATCAACACATAACGCCCGATCCATAAAACTGACCTCTAACCCCGATGAAAGTGCAAATGATGATGAAATGAAAGAATGAGATGCACCAGAATCAAACAAAACACGGGCCTAAGAACCAAACACTGGAAATATACCTCGGAGAACTGAAGATCCTGGAGATGCATCAGTCGGTGCAAGGGCAAAGACACGCCCCTGCGGTGCCTGTGCCTGTGAACTACTAATCTAAACACCAGACTGTTGTGTCGACACAGTAGGAGTATCCCTCCTAGCTGGTCGTGAACCCTGAGAAGACAAGGCAGGCTATGGTGGTGGCGGCGGTGGTCTGAAACCTGATTAAACCGTAGACGACTGTAACGGCCTCTGCCGTGACCCTCTGCCACTAGTGGTGCCTGCTCTCTGACTCGGACAGTCCCGAATCAAATGGCCCTGCTGGCCACACCCATAACAAGCCTTCGGAGCTGAAGAAACTGAAGTCAATCTCATAGGACAACTGGACTTGTAATGCCCAGGCTGCTGACATTAAAAGCAAACAACTGCATTCCTATTAGACCCAGCTGGTAACAGAGTCGTAGGAGCAGATCGTGCAGAATGCTGTCCCTAAAACTGAGATGGACCGCCCCTATTCCTTTTCCAAGAAGATCCTTCTGAAGATGGCCCTGCACCCCTCTTTTGCTTCAACTGCTCTCTTCTTGCATCCTTCTCTTTATTATCAGCTTCCAGCATCAAAGCCCTTTCCACTGCTTCAGAGTAAACCTTAATGAACTGTGCTGTGATCAACGGCCTCATCCGATCATTAAGACCAGAAACAAACTTCCGAGTCTTGTTAACTTTATCTCTCACCATTTCTGGAGCAAAGCGAGAAAGTGAAGTGAACTTGTTTTCATATTCTGCCACTGACATGCTCCCTTGGATAAGGTTATGAAACTGGTCTTGTAACTCCCATCTTTTAGAAAGTGGAAAGTACTTTTCATAAAACAATTCCTTGAACTTGTCCCAACTCATCTCTTCTACCTTGTATCGGCTCGTAACCGACTTCCACCATAATTTAGCATCCTTAGCAAACTTATAAGTAGCTAGGATGATCTTCAAATGATCCTCCGTCACATCCATAGAAATCAATTGAGTTTCAACTTGCTCCATGTAGTCATCTGCTATCATTGGATCCGCACCGCCCTCAAACATAACCGGCATCAGCTGAGAAAACCCCTTAATAATCTTGAGACGCTTCTGAACTGGCGTCTCCTCAACTTGAACTGTAGGTTGTGGTGCCGACTTCGATTGAGCAGCAATCGTTGCCATCACGACATTTTGCAACAAACGATTAAACTCCAGTGCCACAGAACCTTCACCCACTTCTACGGGTGCTTCAACATTATCCCTCCTTATGGGTACAGCTCTCGGGGGAATCAAGTCCCTAAGAAGTGTGTCCTCATCATTTAGCTCCTCCGGATTGGAGATGGAGCTCTCACCAACATCACCCCTAGTCGGTCTAGGGCCAACTTCCCTGATTTCCTCACACCATGACATCGTTCTATAAAACAAAGGAAACAATTCAACAACGATAACACTAAGGTCCAACCGTGAACAACCCAACGCAAAAACATACTATACAAACATTTAGCATGTAAT